ACCCTCTTCTGCAGGACACCCAATCCAGCAGACTCACCACCAGCTAGTGCATTTCTCCACGTCCTCTGTTCCCTTCCACTGCCACATCTCTGTGAAGTCGTCTACCTCTGCAGTTGTCAGCAGTCACCATGTGTCCACAGGTCTAAACCATTTCTTCCACACTGAGTCCCAACTCAGAGAGAAGGCTCTGCCAGCTACCTCCTTCTTCGTTGAAGTTTCTCTCTTCCTTCTCCCCATGGGCTTCAATTCTCATTTCAGATCTTTCCTGGGTCCATGGGACCCACCTCCCTCCTTCTCTTCCTTGATTAACTACAGTGCAGTGCCTGGACAGCAACTCTCTGCAAGGCTCTTTGTCTGATGCTTACCACTGTGCCACCTTCAACCTTGTACTCCCTGGAGTTAAAACTCGGCCCTCCCTCGTGTGTGTTTTAGCCATGTGACTATTACTAGTGCTTAAACTCTCCAACAGTTGTGATATTCTACCAAAATAATTTTCAGATCTTTTCTTGTTCTCTCCTCCCTTTCTTACTTCTATGCCTACACTCATTCCTTTCTCCCACATACCAGGTAAGTGGGACTTTGTACGTTTTTCTTGCAAAAAGTTGTTGGATTTGTTGACCTTTAATTTATATACATTTATGTAAGTCTACCTTTATCCTTTTAATATATAATATGCACTGTATCTTTCTTTCATTGGGTACTATTTTTATTAAACCATAGTTAAACATACAATTACTCTGCAGATTATAGCTACTATTACTTTATTGTGTACACTGCCACATTTTTTTGTAACCTGTCTCCCAGTGAAAAATATCCAGGTTATCTCTAAGTCCACATCAAAAGTAATTACCAATAATGGACATCAAAAGTAATTACCAATAATGGATCTGTATGAAAACGTCTTTAAGTTTTTTTTTTTTTCTTTTTTTGACCCAGGGTCTCGCTGTGCAATCCAAGCTGGCCTTGAGCTCACTTTGTAGCCCAGGCTGGTCTCAAACTTGCAACAATCCTGCTGCCTTAGCCTCCCAAGTGCTGGGATTACAGGCGGGTGCCACCACGCCCAGCGAAAATGCCTTTGGGATATTAAATCAGGCAATGAAACTGCAAGGGCAGAGGGTCCACAGACACACACATACCTTCATCAGTCTGTACTACCATCAGCAACTCATGACTGGTCCTATGTGGCCACATACCTATATTTGGCATCATTCAACTTTCTAATGCTTGTAATCCTGAAAGACAGAGCTGGGAGTGGTGCTGCATGCTTGTAATCCCAACACTCAGGAGGTTGAGGGAGTAGGATCATCACTGGTTCAAGTCCAGCCTAGGCTACATATGGAGACCATGTCTCAACAACTGCTACCCCTCACGGTCAGAGTTATTATTTCAAGTTTTCATTTAATTATCAAGGAGTTTGACCATATTTTTGGTTTCTTCTTAAATTTTAGTTTTCATATTCTTTGACTACTTTCCCACTGGCAATGTTTTGCTTTTTTTCACTACTACCCAGGTTGGCCTTGAAGTCACAAACCTCTTGCCTCAGCCTCCTGAGTACCTGGGATTATAGGCATGTGTCCCTTATGCTTCGCTTTGTCACAGATTTTTGTTGAATTATTCCTGAGGTAAACTGTACAAGGTCTTGGTTACTCTTCTCTTGTTGCTGACACAAAAATACCCACAAGGCCCAAAGTTAAGGAAGGAAAAGTTTATTTAGCTCACCGTTTGTGAAGGTTTCGGTCTATAATCAGCTGGTTCCAAGGTAGGGTGGCAGGGCACAAGGCCAACATTTCAAGGCAGCACAAGATAGCTGCCCCCAGCGGGGATACCCCCACACAATCTCCATGCCCTCCTCTTGCACAGGTTCATGATGGATATAAAGGACGGACCCTGGCCCCTGCTGAGTTAACCTTCTAAACTTCTCAAGTTGACACAATTAACATCATCCCAGAGCCCAGAGGGCAGGCCTTTTCACTGCAGGGTGTAGAACTGTTTACTCAGTCAAGCCTTAGATTCACACTGACACAATGTATCAACCATAACATGGTCCTAATGTGTGTTTAATGGCTAGGTTGGGTTAGCTAATAGTAATTGTGAATAACCATTCATAAACAAAATCGACATTTTTTCCAACTTTATCTGTTTTTAGAAATATCACATTAGCCTAAAAAATCTTTTTTTTTTCCTTTGTCTTTTTGAGACAGGGTCTCACTCTGCAGATCAGGCTGGCTTTGAGCTCACTCTATAGCCCAGGTTGGTCTCAAACTTGCAATGATTCTCCGGCCTCAGTCTCCTGAGTGCTGGGATTACAGGGGTGCGCCACCATGCCTGGCTAAAACTCCATTTTACCAGTTGTTAAGATTGCTATCATTTTTCATCTTGTCTGCTATTTTTAATTTTATTGCAACAGCTTGGAGTTATAATCACATACCATAAAATTCACCCATAAGTATGGCAGGATGGGTTGGGGAAACACTGATCAAGGGATACTAAATTGTGCTTCAGAAGGCGTAAGAAGTTCTAGAGTGCTACCGCACAGTAGGGTAACCACAGATAATATAGAAGAAAGGAGTCTGAGTGTTTTCACTGTAACGAATTGCTAAGTGTTTGAGGAGACAGACATGTTCATCCTGACAAACATTACATAATATATACCTGTATGCACACACTGCATGGTACCCCACAAATGTGTCATTTTTATATTTTTATGTATCAATTAAAAATAAATGTAAACAGGGGCTGGGGATTTAGCTCAGCGGCAAAAGCGCCTGCCTGGCAAGCGCAAGGTCGTGAGTTCGGTTCCCGGTACCGGAGAAAAACCAAAAAAAAAAAAAAAAAAAATAAATGTAAACATTCTGAAGCGTGTAATTCATAGATTTCTAGTATATTCAGAGTTGTGCAACCATCATCACAGTGCATCACAGAACAGTTTCCTTACCTCCAAAAAAGATCTCACACCCTTCAACTATGACTCACTAACCCTCCTGTCCTCTACAGCCTCTCAGCTCTGGGCTATCACCAACATGTGTTTTTCTCCATAGACTGAATTATTCTTGGCATTGTATATAAATGGAACTATACAATATGTGGTCTTTTTTCTTTTTTTTGGTCTTTTTGAGACATGGTCTCTCTATGCAGTTCAGGCTGGCCTTGACCTCACTTTGTAGCCCAGGCTGGTCTCGAACTTGCAACGATCCTCCTGCCTCAGCCTCCCAAGTGCTAGGATTACAGGCGTGTGCCACCACGCCTGGCAAATATGTGGTCTTTTGCAGCTATACTTGGCATGGTTTAAAGACTCATCTAAATCATGGCATGTATAAATATTTCCTTCTTTTTGTAGCTAATAGCTCATGGAATGAATTTATCACATTTTGTTTTTCCATCCATTTACTGATGCACACTTAGATGGCTTCCACTTTTTGGCTATTATGAACAATACTTTGTATGTCCCACAATATTCTTTTGGCTTTTTTCCAACTATTTATACATGTGACAACTCTTCATACTTTACAGGACATGTAAAGGGGTGTAGCATTGAACACCCAGCACCACCAAAAAAAAGAAAACATAGAATACGTTCAAGTGACTTACCTATTGTAGTCGCAGGTGAGTTAAACTGGTTCACAGCCTAAATGTAAGCTGCATTCACTTACAGAAAAATAAATTTTCTTCTACTGGCACAGTCTCAAAGTTGTCCTTATTAACATCTAAGGACAAGTATTAAAGATTCCAAAGCAACATTTGTGCTTTTTCTGACAATATTTCTTTTCTCTATAAAAGGATATCCTTACCTTTAAGTATAAGAAAGGTAAAAAATATTCAGAAAGATTGGCTTTTTTATTAAGTTTTTTTACAGAAATATTTTTTAAAAATGACAAAATTAGCAATTAACAGAACTTTATGGAAGAAAATTTTATCACAAAACATTATTGAAAGGATATTTTGAAATAAAAATAGTCCTCTTATATTTTAAGTTTCAAAATGTAGCAACATAATTTCCTCTTCATCAGCAAGACACTTGTTTACTGTTTAACCAACAGTAA